TGAAACCAAGGTCCCGCACACTCCGCGGGAGGACGCGAGAGAAAGAGAGAGAGAGAGAGAAAGAGAGAGAGAAAGAGAGAGAAAGAGAGAGAGACACGCACACGCACAGGAGGAGCTTGTCCCGGTGGAATGTGGAGTCCGCGACAGCCTGAGCCGCTCTGAGGTCCGCGAAGTTATCACGGCCGGACATCAGCGGGACTCCGGGCGTCGTGCCCGCTCCGCTTTACAGCATCTCATTTCTTCTCTTGCCCTTCTTTCTCTCTTTCACACTCCCTTTTTTTCTATTATTAGAAACGGTGGTCCGCGCGTACGTACGCGCGGACTACCGGGAGTGATACGATCCTGGTTGATACTATTTTCGTGCCTTTCGCCGGCGAGTCGCACGCCGCGCTTCCAACTCAGCTCCTGCGGCGGCGACTCCGGGCTCTCTTCCGTCGGACGGATTCGACGGACGATTGCTCCAAAGTAGGCCCGTTACGATATCACGCCCCCACTTTCCGATGGTTGTTGACAATGATGAACCGGCAGATTTTTAGCTGGTCCGCGAGTCCCGTCGGATCAGCTAAAAATCTGCTCGATTATACCGAGAGAAGCTTTTAAAATGAAAATGACGGTACATCGAAAATTAGCTCGAGATTTATCTATATTTCTCTTCGCTACGCATATGATTTCACAAGTAATTGCAATTTATTTGTTCTAATATATATGCTATTACACTTTAATTTTTAATATAATTTTTAGAATGTAATCTGTAGTAGGGTTGATTTATGGTAAACGATTCATTAGTGTTTTTTCTTAAGATATATTTTATAACGATATATTTCGCATTAACGAAGTCGAAAAATTTCTTAAACTTATGAAAAAATATTCTTTTGCAATTTCCTTCCAATATATTTATAATACATCCACGTCCTGAATCTAAATAAAAAAAAAGGTGGTAGAATTTGTGCAACAAAATAGAAGCTACGATGAACAAAAGTGGATTGTTTGAGGTTTTATTAAAGGTGTCATGGACCTTCTAAATCGAGAAAGAAAGAAGAGTTTTATCACTCTTATCAGTATCATCGTTATTGGTTGGAAGCTTAAGTTCGGTACTGTAATCGCGAGGTGCCTCCTTATATGGAGAGAGGCGCATGTGGGAGACCGCGATGATGTGGTATAAAGTTGCCGGCGAACGCGAATACGATCTTGCAATGTATCTGCGACTACCTCTCGAAGATTTAACGTAAAATTGTCCGCACAATTTACGATGGAAGATGAAACACGATGCGCTTGTCCATTTCAATGATAGTCGTTGGGTAAATTGCATCAAATATTCTGTAAATTTTGTACAATGGATTTATCGGGGTTTGTGATGTTAAAATAGCAAGAGCAGTGTGATAAAAATTACAGAGACGAACCCAAATTGGCGAATGACAAAACCCATATTCAGTGTATTGCTTTATTAATTGTGTTGGAATAATAAATGAGAAAGAGAGACAGAGAGAAGATAGAAATGAAAAGATAGTAACAGTCGATGGAAATAGTGTCACAAATGTCAATGTAGAAGCTATTTATCTTTTTGGCTTTAAAATATTAGGTACAATTGGTCGTTTAAACGGTCTATCCTTTCCTCCGAATCTTAGTTGACCTGATTCTTTTTTGCCACCAAAACCACCTCCTAAAAAGATCACAGATATTATATAAAAATTGGTAATATTTGTCAACAAAGATATTGTGTATATTTAATTATTAAATACATACCAAGTCTTCTCGGCTTCCATCCCTTCAAGCTACGACCACATTCGTAATCAATAAAAATTTTATATCCTTTTAATGTGGCATCGACAGATCGTCTTAACACTTTTCTAGCTTCCTCTTCACTTTTCATTTCCACGAAACCATATCCTTGAGAGAGTCCAGTTACCACATCTACTATCACCTTCGCTGAAATAACATCTCCATATTTGCTGAAAAACTGAATAATAGCATTTTAAAGTTTATAAATAATTATATAAAGCGTATAATAAAATTGTCAAATGTATCATTTTTTAGATAACTCTACTCTCTACCTCTTTCAGATCGTAATTAGTAATTTTGGGACCAAGCCTAGCTACAAATATAGTTCTTTCCGCCTTAGATTCTAGATTGTGCGGTGGCTCATAGTGCATTATCATTGCCCTACTAACAGCCTTGTCATGAGGTTGCGTATCTGTCCCATCGATACTACCTGCTTTTAAGGGATCGTACTCTCTGGCATAAGGGCTCCAATTTTGCAACATGTTTTCGCCCTAAACAAAAATATTAAAAAATCAATCACATGACCATTTTTATTTAATACAAATCATAAATTACTTATCACTTAACATATTTAAAATTAAATCTCAATTACTGTTAAATACAATATTATGCATATTAATTATTAAAATACTACCGAATAACGCTATATAACCTAAAAATATTATTTATGTTAATATAATCCTATATATATGCAGTTTAACATCAACTAACAATTTATCTGTTTTTTCAATGTTTCATTAATAAACACTCACCATGTTAAATATATTTATGGCACTAAAAGCGCATTCAAATATTTAGTAAATAGAGCACTCATTTAACGAGAAGTAAACAAAATATACTGAAGCGCCAACTATGCCTTTAAAAGTGAATATGGAACTACGTAGCATATTCGTAAATTTTCTCACTGGGTAACACAATTTCGATTTTTATCTTGCTGTATCTGCGCGGAACGTAAAATAATTATATGTATATGTATATTTATAACAACATAAATGTCAATATATTAAAACTGTTAGTTTAATTTGTAAAAATTTATGTAATTTATACAGAAGGTGTAAGACAAAATTATATAATAATCTCGACTAACAAATGCGTTATTGGATTATATATCGTACATTATATTTCATTAATAAATTATAAGTGCATTGCAAATAAAACTATCGCAAATAAAGCTATTGCAAATAAACTATCATCGCGATCACAATCTTATTTCGTATAAATGATATGACGCAAACGAAACAAATCGTAATATTGTGTTTAGAGGACGGGAGACATTATAGCTATAAATATACAGGATGACTCACGTACAATTCGAATGGATCGTATTCACCTTCTGGAAGCTCAAATTGCTCTCATTTCGTGATCCATTTGCATAATTTTGGCATGCAACTTATACATTATCGTTGAAAACTTTGTTAAATAAAATACATATATGTATAATCTCATATATGTGAGCGTTTGCATAATGATTTTCAAAATATATATACACAGTACATATGTAATATATAATAAAAACTATATGTATAAATATTCACACCCTAACGAAAATAAAAATCAGAGCATAAGTCGAATGTAAAGATATCAAGAGTGATAAAAGTTAACAATTAACTTCTAGAGGACAAAAATTAAGATAACAAAATGTAAAAGAAGTAACATCTTTTTTCTGTCTTAATTTTCGCCTCTTAGAAATTTCATTTACGCTTCCATGCACTCTCCCCTTACATCGACTTATGTATCTACTCTTTATCTCTATATTGGATTACATTAAAACTTTCTATCTCGCTTTCGCCAAATACATATATAATATATAGATATATAGATATTTACTTCACTTTAAATATAAATGTATACTAGTTTAGCTTTAAGGAATAAGCTTTAATATTTCATACAAATTCAAATTATATGATCCATATAAATCAAACAGCTGCAGGAAAAATTCAATTTTATTGAATTTCAATCAATAGAATACTGCATGATTGTAATTTGCTGACAAATTATCCGCTTAACTGTGCGGAATAGTGAATATTTTTCATTCGCAATTCAGCGTTTTGCGTGACAATAGGGAATATGACCCCGTTTTCAATCACAATCGAATGATATATTACATCGGAATTGCGCGCCTATTGTTTCGTTTTAAATAAAAATTATCCTGTTCTCTTCAGTTTTGTTCATTATACATATCTGTCACGGATTCTGTAACTAAAATCCGACCTACGGGTTGAACAAACAATTATACTGCAGAAATAATGCAAAGCAATACGTAAAAAAATATATATATCTATATCGCGTTGATGGTAAATATTTATTTTAAATACACAGCGAAAAACGACTCATCGAATCAATGTCAATTCGACATCGAATTAATAATTGAAGAACTGATGATTTCGATGAATTGACGGTCATTTTTCACTGGATAGTGTAACAAACTATTTTATGATTTCCAAGTGCCGTCCGTTTGCAAAAACGTCTTAATTTTAATTTTTCAAATTCCATTTTTGGCGCAGATACCCAAAAAGTAGTTTAGTTCCATCGAAGCAAAAAATGAATCAAATTAGTTGATCATAAAAAGGTTGAAGTCAATAAGATTTTCATTAATATGTCCTATATTAATGAAACCTCGTTGCAAACTAAATGGCTTAACTTTTCCAAATTTTGATTTCTTGCTGCACTACTTCGTTACAACCGTTACAACGGTTTATTTCGTATAACGTCATCAAGTTTGGATGCCGTTACCGATTTATTAGACCAAATCAAAGTCTAAACGCGCGCCCATCCGTTTCAATGCCAGAATAGTGTTAACAGCCTTAACCCAACGCTTCTTAATGACGTAGCGTTTCAATCGATGCTTCTGTATCGGATTCTCCAGAGCGGCTTCCAGCCAACGATGTTCTATAAGCTTTCCCGCAGACGGTCTTCTCCTACAGCAAGAAGATTAATCAGTTTCTATTCATTGTTGTGGGAGATGTATGGGTGCATAAAGTAAACTTTCCTGTGTGTAGAGTGTACTGTGATTTATATTAAATATAAAATATATATGAACAGTGACTATTTAACAAGAAATATATATTATTTTAATCGGCTCTCTTGCAAATTTCGTGTAACATACTTAGTAAAAAAATCTAGACTTAATCTATTGTGTGTCTCTCATATTTAATATTACTATAATACAGAGAATATATCCAAATAATGTTATTAATAAATAAAAGTACAATATATGTATTAAATATAACAGTTTTCTGTGGAACTTATAAAAAGTTGCTTGTAGAGAAAGAATTTTCGAATTCGGAACGAATAATTGCGCCATTCTTGTTATTAAAAGCGTCACTATAGATTTATTAGTTCGCAAGGGATTAAATTGAATCAAAGCGATAGAGATACCTTGATGAAAATTAATGTGTCGTACTCTGACGCATATAAAAATATTAATAATTGGAGGGTGTGCTGATGGTACACAACTATAGAGAAGTCTGCTTAGAGTATAAAATATGACCGCGTAGACTTTATTTGTAATTCATAAGTTTTTTTTATCGCTCTCAGTCTTCATTAAAGCCACCATCTCCATTATTCATTTTTATCTCTTTGTGCATAAATATCCATTAAAATCTACATATTTCGAGTTCAATTACGGAGAATTCTATGATCTTGCACTTTTGCAACGTTTTATATACACGTTTTCTGAAATGTCACGAAATTGCAATATTTTGTGTTGTTTTTAATGAAAAGAAGAGAAACGGAGATGATTCAGATAATCATCGATAAACTTAAGCAGGCGTTAAGATATTTAAAAGTTACCGATACTTTTTATTATCCACCTCTCTTAATATATTCAAAAAATTCTTCTGCATTTCTTCGTAATCTCTTCTTAAAAACGTAGTTAAATAAGAAATAAGAGTGCACTTATTTGTTATTTGTAACAGTGTTCTCTAAGACATAAATGATCGAAATGAATTTAAAGGGGTTAAAAGACTACAAAATTAATTTTCAATTTTAAAAATTACAGAGATTTACATTTTCATAGATTAATTTTTACGATTCATCAAGTATATTTATTGCCCTAAGCGTTTGACGCATAAATTTCATCTTAATCCTGATAGCAAAATGTTAGCAATTTGGAGCCAAATTGGCAGCAAACTCCCTCAGATTTCGACTACAAAACCATAGCCATCTGTGTCCACATTTGGCTATGGATTTGTCGACAAAGCCTGTTGACAGACTATGCCAGTAGATTGATGGCAGAAACCGAGCAAATTCTTCTATCAATCCGTCGTCAGGTTATGCAAGACTTTGCTCGGTTTCTGCTTTGTTATATTTCTGGCAGCAATTTGCTGACAATGTCAGATAATACAAATTCTGTATACAATTTGGTGCCTTTCTGCAATCAAAAATTGGTAACAGGCTCTGTTCGAAATCTGTCTCCCCAGGCTTTGCTATCAGGGAATCTTCAAACCAAAATAACATTTGCGATCGGAAAGAAGAAAGAATGGGAGCATTCATCAGACTCAACAGTCGAATGAGCGCTTGCTGCTATTGACGTATTCTTCTAGATCTGAAATTCTGATTGAATAAGCTAAAAGAATACACTAATAATAGCAAGCGCTCACTCAACTGTTGAGTCCGCTGAATGCACCCATTATTAACGCCGCGCATTTTCCTGATCCGTCTGCGACCAATCCTCGAAATTCGCAAATGCGCAACCTGTAACGGGATGAACGTATCATTCAACGATATATCGTCGGCGACGTGGATGACGCGACGTCGGAAGATTTCGCTTCCTGTTGCTTCGATTGGAAATACTCCGCCAATGAATTCATCGTCTTCCTGGCGATCGTGTCGGCGGCACACCAATCCAGGCTCATAGACTTCCTGCCGACACTGCCGCTACCACCGTTACCGCTGCAGGATGTCGTGGTGACCTCCTCCCATTCGCCTAATAGATGCAACAGCAGGTCCTTGGCGCTGCCCGGCTCGTCCAGATTCAGATTCTTGTGTAGATCCCGCAAATTCGATATCCGTGGAACATCTCTGCTAGTTTCGCCGAAGGATCGTTTCACTCGCGATCGCCGCCAAGGTGGCGTCAAGTCCATTTCCTCCGCACCGACGGAGGACCTTCTTCTACCGATCTTTTCCCCGTTAAACTTCTCCTCCATCGCCTTGGTGATCGCCGTCCGTCCGAGGGAATATTTTTGAGAATCCCTTCGTCTATCAGACACATCGCCATCGCCGATACTCGTCCTTCTCAGGGCCACAAACACGTTATTGAAATTTGTATCGAAATTGTATCTGTCGAAACTACGACTACTATGAAAGGTCGTCCCGTTGAGTTTTCGCTGTCGAGTGATAGTGGACAGTTTCTCCGTGATCTCGTTAGACTCTTTACTGACATGAGACGCTGTCATTTTAATATTGCTCTTCGAGATATTATGATTATTTTCGATATCGCCAGGCTTCTTGATGGACTGTTGCACTGCCGTTGCATCTCCATTATTTTCTTCACTCATCCGCGATCCCGTGGCGATCGAGCGCAAGTGCTCGGACAGTTTGATGATCTCCTCGGCCAAAGCGATCTGACTGGCGGGATCGCGACGATTTCGCGCAGCCGTACCTTCGGAAGCTCTCCTTTCCAAGGACAAGCTGAGACTTGGCACGGGCAACAAGTGACTAGAATTATCTCTCATGGCGGAGTCGATCATCACCCTCTCCGATTGCGTGCTACTGCTGCGAAGACTGTCGCAAGGAGAGGGACTGTGACCCCGCAGAGACATGGATTCGTCGCGAGTGCGAAGCGGATTCCTCGGTAACGCGTGATACGAGTCGATAGTGTACGGGCTGTCCGGGTGTTCCCGCCAACGTTCGACGAACAGTCTGAGATTGTCCTTGGTCACGTCCAGCTCATCTCTGTCGACAACGCTGATGACAGGGCGATTCTCGATGAAGGCCATCCTTTTGGCCGCCGCCAATCCCGCGGTCTCCTTCTCGCTCTTCGGCTTGATCATTTTTCGAACCAACCAGCGGTGCTCCCGACATTGCGCCGCCGTCATTCGCTTTCTGAAAGATTCGAAAGGCTCGTCGTGAGGAGGGTCGTGCTCTAGTCCCAGGCTCGATAGTGCGTTTCCCTTGTCGCGTGGAGGTACACGATTCCGCGATCCAATTAGGACGAAAATGTATGAACGAAGAGTACAATACGACGACGTATATAGGCTCGAATATCGTACAAAATGTGTCGCGTGCGTTATGTATATCCGAATACAAAATTTTCGATGAAAAATTATTTGAATGTAATATTACATATTGATGTCGTTCGTTTGATATTTGGACGCTCCCGAGACAATAGAATCGTTTCTTAAATGCAACAAGAGTAAAATAATAATTGCTGTATAAAGTCGGAGTAACGTACATTTTGCTAGTTATCATGAAATAGATTCTTATACGTTTAATTACAAGATGGAATTGCTTTTTTCTAATCTGCAGCCTGACATATTCATGGATATATTGATACATGTGGTTCATTAAAGTAAAACATTTCGGAGTAAGATAATAATATGGAAGTCAGATTAGCCATGATAAGCACAGGTTGTTTGTGAGCCATACACACACCCTCACAACGAGTGAAAGAGAATAATTCAGACAGCGTAACAAAAGAAACTTTTCCGAGAGTAGCAACAGACACATAATGGGATGAAAATACGAAAGTATAAAAGAAATAAAAGAAGGAAGGAGCAAAGAAAGAGGAATTGAAAACATAGAAGAGTAGTACAAATATGTATATATACTTACTCTTTATCTTTCACCAGAAGGCATCTTATGAAATCTTTCGCGTCCTCTGAGATCTCGGCGAAGGCCTCGTGATCAAAGTCGTACTTTGCAATGGTAACATTCGCCATTGTCTCTATATCCGTATCGCCCATGAAAGGTGATAAACCGGACAATCTACAATAATTAATTACATGAGAAATCGCGATCGTCATGAGGCGTATCTTTTATGATGTAATATATGGGACCGTAATTAACTTACAATACGTAACAAATAACACCTATGCTCCATATATCAGTACCGAATCCAATTTGGTCAAAGTTTACGACTTCTGGGGCAACAAACTCAGGCGTACCAAACAACACTTGTAGTTTCTTACTTGGATCGTATTCTCTTGCTAAACCAAAATCGATGATTTTGATTCTGTTACCTTCCTTCGTTAGGCACAAAATATTCTCCGGCTACACAGCAGACATATATTTTAAATAATTATACAAATTTTTAATAATTACACAAATAATTGGATATAAAGAAAATAAGAGAATGTATAGTTAATTTTATATTTCTACTTATAATAAATAGTTTTTAAAGAATATTTAAAGTGTAAAAATTTAGAAATAATTTTATAATCGGCATGCGATAAATAATTATAAAAAGTAAAAGAAAGATTTACAAAGAGCATGATTATCTAATATCAATCTACAAAATAATTCGTATGCAATCCAACGACTCACTTTTAGATCGAGATGCAAAATCTTTTGACCATGCATGAATTCTATTCCCTCGCATATTTGCCGCATAAAAACGGCGCAACTGCGTTCCGTCAGTACGAAATCGTCGTCTATCACTCTCTCAAAGAGCTCGCCGCCGTCGATCCTTAAATGATGGAAATTTAAATGTAATCCCGCAGCGCGCGTCTCTTTCTAATCTTACGCTTCCTATGTCGGTGCCTCGTCCGCGAGAAAAAAACGTACAATTCTAAAACGACATATATCTGTTTCCCCGCATCAATGGAGTCGTACAGCTGAATCAACCGTGGATGCTGTAAGCGTCGCATAATGTCTACTTCTCTCTGCACAGCACGTCTGTCTTCCTTCTTCACGATGTTCACCACTTTCGCGGCGAGCATCAAGCCGCTCATTTTCTCCTTGCATCGGTAAACAATTCCAAATTTTCCCCTGAAATAGAGAGATCAAAGATCAATGTAACAGATAAACATCGAGTGGCTTATACACAAATAGTAGTTATGTAAAAAATGAATTGAATTTCCGTTGACATTAATATAACAAGTTTAGTATACAAAATCGCGCCAAAAAATGTGGAACCAAGTTCTTGGATAATAATGAATTACGCGTAAAAAAGTGATAAATACACACAGGAAGCTCTGCCAAAGCTGTACATCCGCAGTATGTCCCTGACAGCACGAGGCAAAATACAACATACTTGTCACGAAGCCAAGTCAGTGAATCATTAATGTTAGTATCTAATTGTAAGTCAACGGATGTAATTATTGCGTCTATTAATTAAATTCTATTATTATACATTAATTATTAACATATTTCAATTATTAATTTATTAATCAATTGCGTTACATAAAGAAGTCTCGCGATTCGACAAAATAGAGTGGATATTGAAGATTGCTTATCCTTTAAAGAAGAATATAATTGAATCTGAACGTTACAAAATTTCCTATCAGAAGACTGTTACTTTGCTCTTTCTATTATTATCTATATTAAATTCCTCATGTTTGACATTTAATTTATGATGTTGATATCTTAAAGATAGAAAGAAGCTAAGCAACTCGGCTAAGAGAATCGCGTCCAATTTCGTGGGAAAAATAAAAAATGTTCTCAGCTTATTTCAGCAATTCGAGTGCCGTTCTCTTATAAGCTCGTCTACGATTTCGAAATCGTAGCGTAGGTTAAACGCTTTTATTAGGTCTGTTCGCGTTGCATGAAATCCCCAAATATTTTTGCACTTAAAATGAGATAGATACATACTTTGCTTTAAAAAGAGAGAAAGCTGTTGAGAGAAGATGTTGAGTGCCAAAAGTGCAAGCAACGCGAACGGACCTATTGTCAAAGCACATTCCGGCACTGGCGGGCCGGCCGAGTTCACCACCGGTGTCAAGAGCACCGGCACGCCCAAGCTCAACATCGGAACGCAGTTCGACGTGCGTACCGTTTCACTCATGGGTCGAGAGAAACGGATATTTATTTATAGACTATAGACGTATCTCGCGGGTCCTTGATTGCCGGCGCGAACAAGACCGCGCGTGTTCATCTTATCAGCTCGCCTTGCATTCCTCAAACGTCCACCTGACAGCAACACAGCACATTCCTGTAATTCTGTCACTCCCGCACGATTTCATGGAAACGGGCCAACAGCTCTAATATCATTGCAGGAGATATTAAACATCCCAGGTAGCACACATGTCCAAAATAGGAAGATATAAGACGTCTTGAAGACACCTAGCTTTAAAGACATCTTTAAGCTATCTTATGATTAAAGGATGTCTCGATATATTTTTAAGACGTCTTATGTCACGATTTTGGACATGGCGCTGTCTGGGACTCGATATTCGAATATAGAGCGAAGGTCACATGATGAAGACGTCAAATATTTGTATTTAGGCTTTAATTAGAAGTTAATCATTATCAATGGCTATTATTTCATTCAGAGCGGATGGAAGTTAAAAGAAGCGTAAGTGCATTGACTATTTTTTACGCTCTAGATCAGAAGGGTTATCGCATAGAAGAAGTATGTACTCTGAAAGTCGATAAATTAAATTAATTAACCATGTTGATGTAATCTTCGTATTGATTTCTTGGAAATTCCTCTTTTAGTCACGATGTTAGATTTCTAGTTGTATCAAGATTAATATGCATCGATTGCATGTGATTGACACGCTGTTGGCACGATACATCAGGCATTTGTGCATTCGCTGATCGACGGATTTAATCACTCACCGTCCGAGCTCCGACTGGATGTCATAATCGTCCTTGAACTCGACACCTCGTCGTACCGTCACATCTCTATATGGGAAACTGGGCTCGATCTCTGAAAACAGGCGTGCGATAGTGAAAAGAATGGAATGCGGGGGTGAGTAGGTGTTTGGCATTCAATTTCATCGCCAGACGACGGCGGTATCTTGAACTGTCTTTAAAATGGAAAGAGGCAGAAGGCAGCTTGACGATTCACGTGTCGTTCTCTTTGAGGGTTTTGGCGCCAACTTTTCCTCAAGACTTCACAGACAATTGTATATTCTTATCTTTTTCTTGTTAGCAAATTTTGTTGTATATTGTAATGATTTATTTTTAGTTTTCCTAACGTCTTACTTTACTATTCCTTTCTCCTCCTTAAAAAAGTTTTATCGATTCTTCCTTCAAGCCTGTTTATCTTAAAAATTAAACGTTAAATAGACTCTAATCTTGATTTCTTTATTAATATTATGTCTTTTATTTTTATTTCTATTATTTCTTTTTTTATTTATTTATCTTTATTTATTATACTTTTCAATATTTTGATTTCCAAAAAAGTTTTCCGTTAGCTATCTTCAATTCCACGCGGGATTGAAGGTAAAAGTTAATGTTTTAATTCTCTCCAGAGAGAATGTCCAAATTCCAACGGTCTAAACACGCAAAAATAGCTTTTATGTTTATTCGAGGCGTGGAGATTCGAGTGGAGATCCGAGACGTGTATCTCTGTATCACTAAAATTGACTTCGTCGAGAATACATTAGTTTTAATATGATGACACTTGGGCATTACGGACGCAATAGCAAAGATCATATCGATGTTGCTTGGATAACAATAACTGCCTTTTGATTTCCTGAAAGTCGCGCCATTCTACCGAGCATGCTGACAGGCGCGCATGTTTCGTGTTCTCCACGAACGTATTTCCCGCGTTTGTCGAGCGAGATTGTGTTCCTAATAAAAAGAAAATAAAAATCGGAGCGCGTAAGTCGAATATAAGAGTGACAGAAGAGTAAACAAAACTTCTAGGAGATGAAAATTGGGACAAGTAAGGCGTTTACACTTTTTATTTCGTTGTCCTAATTTTTATTTCCCATTGTACATTAAAAAAATTTATTGAATCTTAATATATTTCTTTAAATAGCACCAAATAAACATTTACTCAATAATAAAAATGATAGTTAAATCAAATTAATGATTTTTGCATCAAATAAATGTATGTTTACATTTAGTAAATATAAATATTTATTAAAATTTAATAATTTTTTTTTAGTGTACAAGCTTTGTTTACGCTTCTATCACTCTTTCCTTACATTCAACTTACGCTCTAATTTTTATTTTCGCCAGGGTACACATTGCCAGTGCTGAAAATCTTGTTATACGTAATACGAGTAATAAATTTTCAGTACTGGCAGGGTATATCGGAACACGGCCCAAAACGTCTTCCCCTTTTCCATTACTCTAATATTGTTGTTCGGTAAAAATAATTATTTTCCTTTCTTTTATCCTCTTCTCTTACCTCCCACTGGGTCTGATTCGTCTACGCGGATCATGTTCCTCGAGCGATTTCACGACGAATCGGCCGCCGTCGTGGCTGCCGTTCTCTCGTTTTCCCGGGGAACAGAAAGACGGAGAGTGGAAACAGTGAACTTCCTCCGCGATTTCTTCCTGTTTTTCTCTCTCTCTCTCTCTTTCTTTCTCTTATCCTCCTTTGCTCGCGAAAATGAGAATCGCGGAAAAAAAAGGAGATTTCGCGCGGATTTACACTCGCGCGCGATCCCTCGATCGATCCGCCGCGAGCCACGGGCGATTATGAACTATCTCGATCGCAGCGGCTGTTTCGTGTCGCGCAGGCCAAGACGGTGGTCTCTTCTTCTTCCCCGGCTCGGACGGATTTAGATTTTCGGCGGACGCCGCGAATTCTGCTGGTCGATCACGTGGTACTCATAGCCCTCAACGATTTCGAAGTGGGGATAAAATAGCTGGCAATGCCGGCATCGCTCTCTCTCTCTCTTCCTCTTCTCTCTCTCTCTACCTGTTCTTCTCTTCATCCTCTCCCATCATATAGATTCACAATCATTCCCAATCCCGGCTGTTGAGATGTAAAGCTCAAGGGTACAATCGTATGCTGATATGAAAATTGCCATACATTAACGAAAGTTGCATATCTGGGAGGGAAAAAGAAACGCTATATACAGTTTGAAATAAAGATCTCTGAAATTCAAAGTGGCAAAATTCTGTCTGACCTGTTTAGAGCGTGCCTGAAATAAATCACCAAATCGCCGTTAGTCTCCACGACATTATTACACAGTTGGTCTTCTTATATTTCTTACATCTCAGTGTCAATACTGTACTTCTTCATATTATAATGATGAAATATTATGAAATATTTCGATTAATAAAAGTATCGCTATCTTTTTTTGGACGATTGACTTTGCCAGATTTCTCTCCGACCTGGTAATTACGAAATCCGTATTCTAAATTTCATTCATTTATTACGTGCATATGTGTCACGTCATTTTGCAAGTTTCATTCACCAGATATATTAGATATCTTTTACTTTTTAGTCTAAACATTTCGGGAATACATTCTGTGGGATTAAATAAGAAGAGTAAACATATGTCAATAAATGGAATAAAATAAGAATGAACTTCTGTTTCTGCCTCTCCTTTTCTCTCTCTCTCTCTCTCTCTCTCTCTCTCTCTATCTCCCCTCTCTTTTTCTCTTTAAGTAGATAGAAAATGTCATGTTGAAAATTGCAACATGGAGACAAACAAAAACTCGACGTATCTCAAACATTAGATAATTAAAAAGTAATACTTTAGGAAACAATAATTCTTATAATCTTATCGAGTCATAATTGCAATGAGCAAACCTCAGGAAAAAGTGCTTTTATAAAACATCGATGGGGCATAGGGTACATACTTGGCCCAATTACAGTCGTGGTCTTTGGTGACCTAAATTCCCGCAGGCGCACGTAGCATTCCGATTAGTTTAAACACGAACGTATATGCATCGTACCGATTTATTACGGTATGTGTCTAAGAAGAGCGGATATGACGTTTCCCGTTATCGGTTTCGAGGAAAAATCAAATCTCCGTCATCTTGATCGAATAGAAGCTAAATGTTTCTCGAGCACATTTATTTAGAACAACCAGACTTTGAGTAACTTAATTAGCAATTAATTTAAAATTGTTTACAATAAAATTTAAAATTTTTATTTAAGTAATTTGACATACGTGCCAAGCTATACATATAAAATTAGTAGGTTCATAATAAATACATTGGAGAAAAAGAGAGAAAATACAAGAAATCCAAAATTCTGTTAAAACTAAATAATTAATCTTTTATTCTTAATAAATTTGTTCTTTGTAATTATTGAAAATAAAGATCGAAACGTAAGTCGAACGTATAGGAGAGAATAACAAAAGTATAAATAATAAACTTTTAGTAAGCGAAAATTGCGACAATGAGACATAAAAAAAGTAAATACCTTTTTACGTACGTTTCATTGTCTCAATTTTCGCCTTCTGAAAGCTTCATTAATGTTTCTATTATTCACGAATAAGAAAATTAAAATAATGTCATACTGATTGAATTATAACAAAAAAATGACATAAATTCGGTCAATAATCGGTTAATATGATATATGTTAAATTGAGATTATTCTTGTTCTCCTCGGATTGACTCCGATTTTTATTATCGGTAGGGTATATTTTTGTGTTGATACTTTTTACTTAAAATAAAATAGATATCACAGGCTGTGGTCAATCTCGCTACAAATACTTTGAAGCGTTTGATGGACCAATTAGAAGAAAGAATTTTACAAACTGACCAATTAAAAAACGCTTCAAAGCATTTGTAGCATCGCATTGACCAAACCCATAATGATACTTAGCCCGAATCCTCATCCGGGCAACAGCGCTTTAACACAGAGCACTAATAATTGGTAAAAAGTCGGTTGTGGGGGTAAAATTTACCCCCCATCGCCCGTTTTTCACCAATCAGCGTTCGATATTAGAGCGGTGTTGTCCGTATAAGGATCCGGACTTATTAAAGAGAAAAGGAGAAATACAAGAAATTCAAGAAGTTTCGCTAAAGAAGAGTGAATTAACAACTGACAGTACATGAATTAACAATATTGAGAGTAGCTGCGAGTTTGAAAATAGCAAAGTGAAGGAAGACCATTTTGAATTGAAATATCACGTCACGTTCGCGCAAGTCGAGTCGATCGAGCGCGCATGCGCAAATGTCGGCATATCTGAGGTCTATTTTCTGTGGCTGAACTGATGTACACTTTGGAACTTAAAGTGAGATAGATATACGTTTGACATTTGTTTAAAGCGAGAAAGAGAGTTCGAAAACAGTTTAGTGCAGGAACAGAAAACAGACCGCTGGCATACCATGCGTGTTTGGATTTTCTAACCTTACTTAACCTGTAAGAACACGTTTAAATTAAAGTTTTTTCAGCTATGACTTGTCAATATTAATTAAGACAAAATTATAAAAGCGGCGTTTTTTAAAAATTACGCCTTTTTATATGCTCATTCTACATTTGATGTTTCTATTTTGTATGTTGCATATTTTCAGTTAAAGTCTAAAGTAAGTAAAGGTACGTTTCCCACGTGTTATTATCGGATGTAAATCTACACGTGAAATGTAATTTAAGTCGTCCCATTATTGGATATGAAATATAAATAAAATTAACTATGTCTTGTTAAATAGCTTTAATTCATAAATTTTGTAGATTTTAATAGTGGATGTTTACATATATTGTATATATAATATGTTATTAAATGTACACTTTTAATTCAATAGGTATTAATTAACTGAAATACTGGAGTGATATGAAAATGGGTCAAATGGGGGATCACGATATCGATAACGATAACATTATATTCGATTGTCAAAATGGACATGACATTGATATTAAAAATAAGGAGAGCCAGAAAAAGTACAAATGTAATTATTCTAACTGCAGTGCTACGTTTTTACGACCTAACAGATTGGAGAGACACACAAAATCTCATACTGGAGAGGTAATAAAACATAAACATGGAAGTGATTTTATTATGTGATATATTAATGTTTGATAATCAACAATTCTGTTTGATAGAGACCTTACAAATGTATGCATCCAGGATGTACAAAATCATATACGAATTCGTCTCATTTAAGAAGACACTCGGAAACGCATAACTCTGTGAAGAAAGTTTACAAGTTTGTATACATTAGCATATTCTTTAATTGGACTTAGAAAATATGTGTGTGTGTATATATATGTATATATATCAATGTATCAATTTCAGATGTAAAGAATGCTTAATGTTGATGAGTACTTTACATAATTTGAAACGTCATTACAAGCGTGTGCACAGCATGAATAAACTCTCCTGTAAAGAATGCAGTGTATCTTTCAACAAGAGATATCAATTAATCAATCATCAAGCTGAACAGCATTCAGGGTCTGTGTATAAATGTGATAAATGTACTAAAAGTTTTGGAACTTTGTCTATATTTGACCGGCATCGAAAGATACATGAGAAACGTTATCCTTGTTCTGAGTGCTCAGAGGAATTCAAAAATTTGATGCTTCTAAATACGCATATAAAAGTAAAACATGTAACAAGTATGTATTATAGAAGGTTAAATATGTCATAAGAATGTAATCTAGAGTAGAACAAAATTTGTATTTCAGATTATAAGTGCGACACTTGTGGCAAAGTTTTTCTCAAAAGAGTCTATCTAAAACAACACTGTAAAATACATTTTGAAGACAGATTGGTTCTGCCATGCCCATATGACAATTGTCACAAAGCTTACTTTTTTAAATCTAATTTGACTGAGCATGTAAAGGCTATTCATCTTGGAAAAAAATTTTATTGCGACATATGTTCCATGGGACTTACGACAAAGGCAAATTTGATACAACATATTCAACGTCATTACAAATCCAAGGAGAGAAAGAAAAGTAAGGTGCAACGAAAAAAGCGGAAGGATGCTGGTATGGCAAAGAAAAGCGTGCTAAGTACTTTAATTGGAATAAATTTGCCAAATAGTTTAGAAAAAATGGTGATGGAACGAGAAACGAAAATAAATGATACAGCGACAACATTGGAAGCATCTTAAGAAATATTATAATTAATATTTGTTTATCTTTATATGAACATATAAGAGTGATATCTAGTACATATATATTGTTCAAAATTGGATAATAAATAGAATTATTGAAATAACAAATTGAGTATGAATGTCAATGAAATTTTTACAATACATTGGTACCATTTAATAAGTTTACTGTCTGTGTGTACAAAAAGATTCTGCGTAAAAAAATTTTTTTATTCCTTCCAACAAAAAAGTCTCATAGAATTTGAAATTGGTTAGTCACATTTGATTTTTATCCTAAGTCACCTTATCAGAATAAATTTAAATAATGAAATTAATAATAATAATAATGAATCAAATAATATAATGATTCAAGTTTTGTTCATGATGATTCTAATAATCCAATTTAATTCATTGTTATTAATATTGTTAATAAATATTAATTAATATTAATAATAATGACTTAAATAATATAATTTAATAATTCAGGTCATAAATACGGTCTCTAGGAAACAAGTTCTTGTATTGGTTAATGGATATTTATTACTACACGTTGCTGCCTAGTACTTTTTGTCTCTTTATTGGTATCAAATATTTTTAGTGAGAAACGAGTCTTCACTTCACTTGAGTTCAGTCTGGGTTAGGTTAAGTTAGGTTTTAATTACGCGTCTTTTCCAGTCTTTTCTGCGTGAATGGTATCGTTGTGAGACTGTTGCTTTCAATTATTCTAGTGTTGCGCAATTTTTCTTTCAGTGGAATAATTTGTATAGAATATA